CTACTTGTGATTGGGTAACTTAAGAAGGCAAGTATTTGATGGTTAGAAAAGAAACCATAATATTTTGTTCTGGTGGGGTTGTTCTTGACGATGAAGCAGGAGGAGGAAGAGGACGATAGTTTTGGAATTAATAATCTCACCGCTATCATGTTGTTAATTATTATAGTCGTAAATTAGCTTTTGATTCGATAATATCTTATCATTACGCTATCTTATTTCTCGTAATTTTTTATGATGGGGAAACCGGACGGCCAATGTAAGAGCTAAGAAGTAAGAAGAAGAAGAGGAAGTACAGTTTTCGGAATTGTATGTCTGTTTGGTATTGGCAAAGACGACGGCGACGTGGAAGTCTGACCTTTTCCGCCACCCAATTCACGACTACTTCCCCACTGCTTGCCTTCTACAATTCTAACATTCTAGACTAGAAAAGTAAAATGCAAATGGTACACAAACTTTGACCCTTTAGCAATTCTGGCACCTAAACTTTAGCTGACAGTAAACTTGGTACCAACATTACAATTTCTCTTCTAAGCATATTGGGTTCTCCTGACACATATTTTCGAATTCGTACTGAAAAAATCATGTGCCCGGCTACGAAATTGTAAAAAGGTTTTTACGGTTATGCTTCATTAAAGGATTCTCAAATTGTTTCAAGGTATTTATGTGTAACTAAATTTCATAACTTTTTTTGAACAATGTCATGGTTAAATCCATAAAGACTGGATTGAAATAAGGGTCTCAAAAAAAAAATTTTTTTTTTGAAGAGGGGGATTTCTGGGCGTTTATAATTAGCTCAAATTGATATTTTCTTAGAATAAGTTATTTTATTCTTAAACGAGTGACTTATATTCTATTGGTCCTTAAGTAGGCCACTAGGTATGCAATTTTTTTTAAAAAATTTTTAAAATTGATTATTGGGCACATAATGGCATGTGATTTTTTTTCCGTTGAAGTTCGAAAAAATTTGTCAAGTGTACCAAATGTACTTACACATTGTAATACTAGGTACTAAATTTGCTTTCATCCAGAATTTAAGTACGAAAATTGCACAAATGTTAAAATTTGAGTACCAAAATAGCATTTTACTCTTCTTTCTACTTCGGTTATTTAATTTTCTTCCTCCCCTCCCCTCTTCCGGGTAACTGCTCTGTTCAAATTATTATCAGAGAGGTCTCTATGTTTTGAAAAATTACAAAGCAACCCACATTGCCCAATCGACTCTGAAGTCTGAAAGGCTTCAACAACAACAACAACAACAACAACTACCGCCTGTATGTGTTATAACTGCAGCGATAAAAAGGGGAAAAACAGCTTAGAGAAGCAAACAAGAAGATGGACCGACCACAATTATAATTCTTCTCCCCAGCCCCCCAAAAAAGGGTACTTACAAAAAATCTCCTTTGAAATTATTTCTGTCACTACATAATTAATAGAGGAAAGAAAGATTTAATATTTTATAAATAGGTACTAAGTTTTGAAAAATCTTGAGACGGAGAGTAGGTTGTAGTTCGCCTAATTAAGTTAAGATAATAGTAGTATATGTCTTCTAAGATTATGAAAATGCACCATCGCGTGTAAGAGAACAACGGATGATTGGATCAAAATTTCTATTCAATCAAATGCCAAATATTACTTCAAAACTCCAAAACCAAAATACTTCACAGCCTACAAAATTTATCAATACATGTGAAAGGAAATTATTTAAAAGCCACAGAGACAATGCCACCATTCTCATTGCTAACTCCATCACCAGCAAACCACCATCATCACTTGACCTATGTTCATTCTTGTAATCCCATTTACCCAAATTCCCAATGATTTCTCCAATTCCTATCAAATCCAACTCTCAAACAAAAGTTCTCTTTATTTCTCCCTTTTATCAACTTCTCTCTACTTCTTCTTCTCTTCTCAGAATACGTTCCTCTTCTTCGAGAGAAAAGCCACTTATAAATTTCATTTGGGAAAATCGTCCAAAACGTCCCTCACATTTTATAAAATAACTTTTTTCGTCCCTCACTTTTAAAAGTGTAATTTTATGTCCCTTACATATTCACATCGGTCAAATTTAGTCCCTAACTAGGTTTCCTATCATTTTTTGGCCGGAATCCATCACGTGCAAGGCACGTGATCATTTTTTAATGGTAAATTTGTCAAATTATATTTTACATAATCTAATCTATAGTCCTCCACATTTTATAAAACAAATTTTTTCGTCCCTCACATTTCACAAAATGAATTCTCCATCCCTCACATTTCAAAAAATAAATATTTTCATCCCTCACTAATTATGTGTGAGAGGAAAACCCTAAAAAAAAAAAAAGTGTGTGTGAATACATTTTGTTTAAACACATGTATATGTCTATTTGATTTTGCTTAATAATACGAATAGCATAAATATATGTATGTGTTTATTTGATTTCACTTAACAACACGAATACCATATATTATACGTGATCATTTGATTTCATCTGGTATTAGCTAGTAAAAAATCTTGCATTCGTTGTCAAGTTGGCCAATAAAGCTATTTTCGGTCAAAATACAATAAAAATATGCAAATTAAGGTTCTATTTGTAAATATTAGTCATAATCATGCAAAAGGAGAAGATAGCCCATAAGTTGGGCCCAATTACATATATGTGTTTATGCTATTATTATTAAACAAAACCAAATAGACATATACATGTGTTTAAAAAAAATGTATTCACACACATAATTAGTGAGAAATGAAAAATTCATTTTTTGAAATGTGAGGGATGGAGAAATTCATTTTGTGAAATGTGAGAGATGAAAAAAATCATTTTATAAAATGTGAGGGACAAAAAAAATTATTTTATAAAATGTGAATGACTATAGATCAGATTATGTAAAATATAATTTGACAAATTTACCCTTAAAAAATGATCACGTGCCTTGCATATGATGGATTCCGATCAAAAAATGATCGGAAACCTAGTTAGGGACTAAATTTGACCGATGTGAATATGTAAGGGACATAAAATTACACTTTTAAAAGTGAGGGACGAAAAAAGTTATTTTACAAAATGTGAGGGACGTTTTGGATGATTTTTCCATTTCATTTTATTATTATTTTTAATAAAGCCTCTCCTAAATGTTCTTAATGAAAGTTCTATGTTTCTTTTAAAGGTTTATAGTGAGAATTTTCTTTTTCTCATGGAGGTTTTTAGCGAGAATTTTCTAATTTTTTTCTTATTTTGTTGTTATATCTGAATTTATTTCAAATTTAGTTGTCAAATCTGAAATTTTATTGGGATCTTGAATCTATCCCGTCAGATGTCATCATCATCATTAGAGTTTAAAGCGTTGATTAGTAAAATTGGCGATTGCAACATGTATAGAAGGGAGCTGCATCGATTTATCTTGTTAGAAGACAAATTGACAATGTCTTATACTTTTAGATCTATTCAAAATATTTCAGATCTATTATATCTATTAAAGTGCACATCTATTATTTCTAGTGTATGTTTAATCTGCCATTAAGACAACGATATAAATCAAATCGTACTAGACGATTTTTAGCAATTCATTAATAAAATTCAGGGCAAAAGATCTGAATAACTCTCAAACTATAGAGTTGGTCAACTCTTAACCCTTCGACTATTAAGTGTATACTTTTGCCCTCAAAACTTGTAACAAAAGTATACCTTTCACCCTTTTGGCTAGAAATAATTTCAGAAACCTCTCCTAAAGTCTATAGTAATATCACATGACACATTTGAAGTTTCAAAAATATCACCGGACTTTCATATGAGTGAGATGGGACCATTAATAACTATTATAGTAATGAATTGACAAAATTATCTTCACTACTTTAACAATTTTCAGACAAAGCCCTATAGAAATGAAAAATTTGAGGCAAACATGTAAATCTTATATTACATTCAATTTGGTAGAAAATTCAATATAAAACAATACAAAAAGGTGGAATTGGGAGAAAAATAGTGTCATTAAATGATTCTTACAAGAATATTTTAATGATACAAGGGTGAGATTGTTATAAAATATATGGTTTTAGGAGAGGTTAATGATAATTTTAAAACTTAAGAGGTACCAAGTAATATTAACATAAATTTTGGGGAGGTTCCTAAACTTATCTCTAGCCAAAAGAGTGAGGAAAAAGTTATGTCAATTGTTTCTTACATATTGTGTATATTAAATTTTAATTCATCAAAATAAAAATGATAGATTTTCATACCTAACTAACATATATAAAAAAAATGCCTATTTTTAGTCTCTCGTCACTTCTCTGATAAAATCTTAGCCAAAATAGGTCACGGACTCATCACATGATTAATTTTTAAAGGACAAATTTGCAATTCACTGATTACGTTCATACCAAAAGTAAAGAATGATTAACTCCAACCTCCTCTTTGTGGATTTGGGTTTGCAAATCTAAGTGGGTTTTGTAATTAAAGGTCAATGACCCCGGCCCTTTAATAAATGAATCATTAGTGCTCTTGTGATGAGCTGGTAAGTGGCAACTGTAATCGCCAATCAACCACGAGCGAGCAAGATAATGGGCGCTGAAAGCAGGTTTGACAGCCCGACGACCGATAAATGACCTCTCTCTATGGACTATGCATGCATGAGCATGAGATGACCTGGATGCTTACTGCTACTGGTGTCTGGCTCCGAGTGAAGGAAGGCGGAAGCCCCATTTCATCCCCACTCCCCAGGTTCGAAAAGTTGAATTGGAATTGGAAATATAAGCATAAGCTGCTGAAAATGAAAACAAAAGCAGTTAACACAGGCAGGCCTGCTTAGCTAAGCTTTTCTCCTGGCGGTCAAATGCACCCAGTGCTGGCCAACTGTGAAGAAGCCCCTCCTCTCCTCTGTCTGTCGCTAATCCTACCGGCGAATACAAACGTCTCGTCCACCACGCCTGGATGCCACGTGGAGCATCCCTTTCCTCTCTTGCTCACCATTATAAATAAAAGCCACTTGCCATCTGCAGATCACCATCTTCTTCCACCAACTAGTACCCTAGCTACTCCTCTAACTTCTCCATCCATCCACACATATATACATACACACACACACACACACACGTATTCATACCGCAGAGCAAAATTCTTGTGTTCTGTGTGTGTGTGTGTGTGAAATAAAGTCCTACAACAAAGACACAGAAAAGGGTACTACTGGGAGATCTGATGGAACTTGGAGGAAATGGAGGCTTCACTGGGTACCGCAGGTTCCCCCAACCAAACTCCGGTAAAGAACTAGCTACTAAAAGATATCGAATTTATGTATTCTGAATAAAAATGCTGCATTGACGATTTCTTTTTCTTTCCTCACCTCAGATTGAGCCAACTAAACGCACGGCCTTCTTTAGGCAACATCACAGTGTTATTTATGCACATGATTTGATCTCCTTTTTTTTTTATCTACATTTTTGTTGCATTTTATATACTATATAACTAGATATGGTTTTGGGTTTTTCTTTTATATTGCACACCGACAAACAAGAAGAAGGATTAAGGAAGCATCTTTGATTCTGAAATTGAAAGGACAATGAAGCAAGTTTGGTCGTATCCCATTCCCATGGGGTGCCGTCAATGTTCATTTGCATCCGCATATACAGTAATAGTATCTATATGTTCCACAGTTCTAGTCTTCAACTACTGTTTTTTAAGTAAGATATAGCAGCCTAGACTGTCTCTGAGATTACTCTCTTGTCCGTGCATCACTTCAATTGTTCTTCCTGTCGAACCGTATACACATAGCTCCCTAGCTGGCTAATTCATGTACTAATAAATCAGGCCAGGCTCCTAACAATTCAACTAATAAATCTCACTTTTCCCCAAGCTGTTCATAGCATGGAATGGGGTGGTGGATGTAGCTCATTTTAGTATAATGATAGATCAGCGGGCGTTCCAACCCCCGGTTCTATGTACACACTACCAGTGTATGGAGTCGGGAATCTGGAGACGCATTATTATAATTGATGTTATTAAGTACACACGAAAGAGAGGTAGGAGAAAAAGCAACAAAAAAACTACAGAGTCTCTCGATCACAGAAAAGAAAGGAACTTCTGTTCCGGCCGGGGTACACTATATGACTCTGCAGAGCTGCAAATATGCGATTGGAGCTGATGTATTCATTTGTCAAAAAGGGCAAAGGGGACACAAGTGGCATGCATGCAGTAGTGTTTGATATTCATCTCTCCTTAATAAAACGAACACTTGTCACTCATGCACTCTCCTGCGCGACTTATAATATCTTCCCGACTCCATTTTGTATCCCTGTTAGTGTTGAGTTAGGTTCCATTTCCCGGCATTCCATTTGGCCTGCAGTCCGGGGGACATCTTCACTAACAACAGCAAGTAGGAATTGAATATACTTTTAATGCTTCTGGGTTCCTAGCGGTTGAACTCTAGTCGTCTATGGACAGACTCTGACCCTAATCATCTGCATATATATATATATATATATGTGTGTGTGTGTGTGTGTGTGTGTGTATGATCGGTCCTGATGTGTAGTAGTACTGCTGCTTGGACAATCCCGGTGTATGTTGTTTCTTTGTTAGTCAGGACTAAAACTTTAAACCTCAAATTTAACGTACAACACAACACTGATGATATGCATCATATACAAGTACTTTCTGCACGCATGCCTTTTAAATTTAACTACATTCGACAAGAATCTGTGTCTACTGCAATTTTTTCAGCATTCATATTAGTAGGAGGAGGAGTAGTAGTAAGTTTTTTTTTTTGGGAAAATTTAAGCTTTCTGATCATCAGTAATTAAACCGCTCCTAGCTAGATGCAATGCTTTCATGTCATGTTAAAAGGTCCTACTGGCTTAGCCATGAGTACTGGAAGTCTGAAACTCTGGGAGTCTCTGGCTACTTGCGGCTTTGTTTGGAGTAGTAAAGTAAATGGTGGTGACTATTATGTTAAATAGACGGAGGATTATGTGTAGATACGAGACAAAAGATTGATGACGGCAACTTGGAACTGGAACCGCTCCTGTTACGTCGTCGTCTTCGTCGTTGTCGCGCGTTGTATGGAACCTGGACGGTTTCCTCCTCCGAGCACTTTTTTAACTTTTTTTTTGTGAGTAAGGTTAAAAAAACAAATGGAGTCACAAAAATATATGTTCCAAGACTCTCCTCTCCTCTCCTCTCGTCTGAATTTTTTGTCGTTGATGCTGCCTGGCCCAAATACCACGTGCTCTTTTAGTTTCATTTCTTTTATACTTATAATTTTGACTCAAGATGTCATTTTTCTTGGTTTTATTATTTTTTATCATTAACTTCTCTGCCGGTGCCTGTTGATCACACTCAAAACAAATATTTCTTTTCAAAAAAATGAAAAAAAAATTAATAAAAAGGAGAAAATTATGAGCATGCATGGTCATTCAGGATCTTATTATTATATACTAGTAGAGTACTACACAGAATATAGTAGAACCATACTACGTAGTGTTCATTAACTAGAGATTAACGTGATGATACTGGTAATTTTGAGGCTAATTTTGAGGCGTTAATTTTGAGGCGTGGAAAAGAAACCACAAAAGAGGATGCTGTTCATGATTTAATAAGGCCACAACACAAGCGTCTAACTATATATGATTTAGAAATTATTTAGTAGCAAGCAATATTTATTAATTTGCAGCTGAAGAATAATTACTTTAGCACTCTGATCTAACCTTTGATTACATGAAGGAAGGAAGGAGCGCCAAAGGATCATTTTTGGAGTGCAAATATATCTTTTAATTGAAAATTTTTTTTAATAAATTTTTATTGTTCCATTTTTAAAAAAAAAAAATATATATATATATACATATATATTAATTAATAATATGGTCAATTGGCGTATGCATGCCCAGGGATGATGAGAGCAGCAGAGATAAGCATGGGACTGCCATCTAAAACAAACCATACTACTCCGCCATCGTCCTCGTCCTCGTCCCCTGCCGCCGCTGCTGATCATATGATGATGGACGGTGAATGCACGGTCCGGGAGCAAGACAGGTTCATGCCAATTGCTAACGTGATCAGAATCATGCGAAAGATCCTTCCCCCACATGCTAAGATCTCCGATGATGCCAAGGAAACTATCCAGGAATGCGTATCGGAGTACATTAGCTTCATCACCGGAGAAGCCAATGAGCGTTGCCAGCGCGAGCAGCGAAAGACTATCACTGCTGAGGACGTGCTTTGGGCCATGAGTAAGCTTGGCTTCGATGACTACATTGAGCCTCTAACCCTATATCTCCACCGCTTTCGCGAGTTCGACGGCGGTGAGCGTGGTGGCTCTCTAAGGGCCGCTCATCATGATCTTGCAGTGGGGAAGAGGGCAAATATTGATCATCTAGCTGCAGCTGCTGGCTTAGGATTAGGAGGCGGAGGCTTTGCAACCTATCCCCCACCTCATTTTCACTTGCCTCATCACCCTCCTTTCGTCGCTGCTGGCTTCTTCACCACCGCTGCTGTTCCAATTCACATGAACGGGTTTCTCAAAGATCCATCCTCAACTGGAGGGGGCCAAGCAACTTCTTCCCAGGCTGCTGCTGTGGCGGCTAGTGATGGTGGTCATCAAGAACAAGCATTTGACAACTGCGAGGAGTAATACTGATAATGCAGGTAATTAATAATTGATCAGCGGCTGGCTGCATGGGGTGGTGATAATTATTTCGGATCTTGTTGCGTATGTGGTGGTATCTATCAATTGACATTTAATTTGTTGTTCTACTTTGTGTTATTAATCTATCTATCTAGTTCGATGCAGGCGCTGTCATGTTATGTTGTTTTGGCACAATTTGGTCCGTCTAACCTCTTCGCTTTTCAGTGGAATATTCGAAATGGTGGAGTGGAAGTGAGCGTGTAATAGGATGCTTATTTTAATCACCTTTTCTTTTTGTATTCACGCATCCATGAAAACAGACGAGAAAAATTACTCGGCCTAGCTCAAATTAAGAAATGTATACACTATAATAAGTTGGTTGTCCACAGAATTTTGATCTTAGTGGTTAAGGTGCCAGAAAAGATTTTTTTTTTTTTTTAAAAAAAGAGAAACTATAAGTTGGCTGCATCAATCTAGTAAACGCTAAATCCAGCCCAAGGTCTGATGTTCAAGCTCAAGTTAATTCAAATACTTAACGATCGAGCATAAACTGTTGCTTGAGTAGTATATATATTCAGCAGTTTCAGTTCGGTTCATTAGTCAAACTAGGGCACGTCTTTTTGGAAATTTAATATAAGAAATTTATATAATCGAAAGGATTAACCTAAGTGTCCAAATTTCTTCAAGGAAAAATGGCCATATTTATTTATTTATTTATTGGGAAAGACAGAGTTCCATTCCTCCAAACTTGATAAATCTAAATAAATAAATTGGTATTTACTGTGTATACAAAATTTGCTTACCAGATTAACGGAACTTCTGCGAGCTCAAACAAGCATGAATCCTCAATAATATTGGTAATTGCAGATTTAGAACTAACACTCATCTCCCTTGCAGTTTAGACAATAGCACTTACCATCCCCGAGCTTAAGGTTTGTGTTGCAGATTTAGTCAATGCCAGAAAAGTTACAATTAAAAAAATTTTTTTTTTAAGGAGTGAGATCAAAGATTTGTACCACATTTGCCCTTCATGCTGCTGCTTGCCAAGTTATATTAACAGAAGGATGACAAAATCAGCGTCTACTAGATTTGTGGTGCATAGTAGTAGGCTGCATGAATCCGTGCTCTAACAAAGACACGAGTTTAATTTACTGCATGAATCATTGGCCCCGTTCGAATGAGTCCCTCCCAGTTAGGTAAATTAATCGAAGATTGACCATAGCAGAGTTTGCTTCCTCCATGTCTATCTTGGAATAGCCAGTTCACATTAATATAAATTGATATCTTTGGCACTAAAAATTAAAAAAGAAGAAAGAAGAATAGAGAACAGGTCTTTTCCCCCCGCCCCCAAATTCATGTGTGTCAGGGCAATAGCGAACCCTTTTGTTTGGAGGAGCTATCAAAGTCATGTTCGTTTGAATGGAGAAGTCAAGGTGTTGGAGGAGAATGTTGCGGACATGGACTGGTCATCAAGCAGACAAAGAGGTTGCTCATGGGGCCATTGCACGTGTAAGGATGATTTGCCCAGGTCAATTGCATTCAGGCTTCAAGACTAAAATTGTACTATATTCTACCTGTTCTTTAAATTTTGTTCTCTCGATCCAGAGGCGGTTGAGAAGTAGTACTAGACTGAACTAGGGAGGTTTTGAAATAGAAATGACTTGGGTAGATATATATACTTGTATAAGTTCTCTTTATACTTATCTTAGTAGAAGCTCCATAATTGCTTGCTGGCCTTCCTCTCTGCAATTATATAAAATTAGATTTAGATTGACTGGTTTAAAAAACATAATTTAGAAACATGTACGCCATTTGCTCCCCTCAATTGGCACCATTCCTTAGTTTTGCTTATAATGGCTAATAATATTATAACTCACAGGTAACCTAGTTTGATTAAGCACTCAATTTGTTTACAAAAAATAATTTTTCTATTCCAAAATTCTTTCATTATGTTTTGCAATTAATTAGGGTATAAAAGTAAAATCGTACAATTTATTATTAGTAATAGGTCCAATTTCCTCCTAGGGGAGGTCAGTGCAATTTTAGAAATCATAGGGGAGGTGAGTGCTGGTATCAGAAACCTCAGGGAGGTTTCTGGAATTATCCCTTGGTAAAACTGGCTCATTGAAAGCTCTAAAGTATATCACAGGCTTTGGGCCAACCCTTCGTACATTAGACATTTGCAAAAATATGACCACAACGCTGGAGTATTTCTCTTGCAGTTGCTCGTGTCAGCCAAAATAATAAAATGGTACGAATAGATTGACTAGACTGAAAGAAAGCCAAATGAGAGAGAGTTCAGAAGTTTGCAGCTTCAAAAGAAACTTTAAGTAAAAGTGAATTCTTAACAAGAAAGAATTCAACTAAAGAATTATGTATCTGTTAATCGACTTGATATCCTTCATCTGCCAGCCAAGCAAAGTTGCTTGTGCCTTAGATATCCATTAATTATCTCAGCTGAGCACCTCAACCATGACATTTAAACCTATTCAAGCAAATCAGGGGGGAAAAAAAAAAAAAGAGAAAAGACAGTAAGGAGATTCTGCCTGCTGTAAGCTTCATTTGACCGCAAAACTTTCTTCCTTGAATAAATACAAGTATTTTTGAACAGCAAAGAAGAATCTGATGCAAAACTACCTCCCGCAGGGTTAAGGCCCTTCAGTTTCAATGCACTGCCTTTTCATCTCCAGCTCATCTCCCTCACCATCAACCTCCTCTTCTGTATCATGTTCATTGTCTTCTGACCCAGTCCCACATCTTTTTCTTTGAGGAATCACCTGGAAGAATGAAGCCTTCCAATCCCCTGTTTCCAGGTACTTGAGGAGTATCTCTACCACCTGATTTACAGTGAGGACCTGCGCTCAGGTAGTGAGAAGCATTATTTTACAAGACACATGGAACATTTTACATTTTGAGACAACTTCAAAGTGATTTCTTATAGCAAGTGCCCAAACATTACCCTCCTGAAAAGTGGTCAATTATCCCATATCACCAATACAAAGCTGAAAAAGACAACTCTTCCGCCCAATGATATACAAAAACACTTTACTAACTGAGAAGCATCCAGCAATCAAGGGGAAGTTGTGTAGCATATCTCGCGACATTACCACAGAATCTTTCTCGAGAATAAAGTACTATAATTTATACTACCAAGTCATCATAAACAATATCAAAATCCCAAATGTAGAGAAGGCAACTTATTATTTAAAAACCAAGGCTTCTATACATATAAGTGGAGTTGCATGTGGTGAAAATGCAGATACACAAAAAAGACTCTACTTGGCAGCATCGAAATCCTTTCTCCAACATCCCCATTCCCATAGTGATACTGAGTCTGTTAGGGATAGCTATCTCTGGTGAACAAACTAAAGCCACTAAGAATTCCTTAGATTCCTAAAAAGGCAGCACATTGAGGTAGAAGAAACCAGGAATACAAAGTAGCATAGGTGACAACAGTATGTCTGGCTCATGCTATTCTCGAGCACGATTCTAACGAAACACAACTATGATGCAACACACTCCATGTAGTTATATGAAGGCAACTAATACAGTTAGGATAACAATGTGGAGGTCCAGCAAAATCTCTCATCAAAATGCGCATCTTCATCCAGAAAGTAAGTCCAACATGTTCTCATACTAAAATAAATAAACATACGAATCGTGATGAGAAATTTTTCTTAAGGTTAACCAGCAAAATGTTATTCCTGATGTCCAGTAATGAATTCCAGTTTGAATAAAATAAGCAAATTGGATATACCTGAGAACTAGACATCTTAAGGTAATATCCTATAGGGAGCTTCGCTGTCTGAATGCCCTGATCTTTTGCTTTCTTCAAGGTTATCCCTTTCCACCGATTCCGGTCTACCATTCCACCAATAATATATACTTTCTTTGGATCGAGGTCATCTAGTTCAGTTTCTGAGTCAGCTGTGAGGTACACCAGGTTATCCTTCTGATGTTGGAAAGCTTCAACATATGGGCGACTCTCCTTATCGATTACCCACTTCTCATATCCTGGGAGCCTTTGCAGTTGGCTCTGCATTTCTCCTTGACAGCCAGTCAACCAAAGATGGGCAGGACATGGACATCTTCCATTTACAGCATAACAGTACATAATCTGCAAAAAGACAAATCCATTATTACCTTGTTCATATTAAGTTTATTAGCCTCTCTGCAGTTGACCAGAAATTGAAACTTAACCCATAGAAGTGTCTTTGGAATTCCATTGCAGGATTATAGCAAGTAAAAAGATGCTCCAAAAGCATAAAGGCCAAAGCCTTTCTTAATTGAGTTAAGTTGTTCAGAGATAAGCAAAAAACTGAAACCTTGTCCGGAATATGCATTGGCAGACAAAATCAGGTTATGAAGAAATCCATGCCATACACATATATTCACCAATCTTGAGCACACAAAATACTTTTCTGTTCCTCTTTTTCCTCCTAAGATCACTCCAGAAGTCCAAGTTTATTTATTTAAACTGCACTCAACTAAGGCTACAGGATAAGCAAAAGAATTAATCATAATTCAGCACAGAGAATGGGTCTGAGGAGAAAAGTAAGTGAGCTGCAAAATAGGAGCACTGGAACAATACTACATGGAACAGTCAGATTCTAGCAAATACCTTTAGGAAGTGTTGCGTTTAAAAAATGAGAAGGAATTAGTTGGCCTCGGCATAAGGTGAAGGATTCTTCTCTTTCTAATTAGCAGGTGTATATCATGGAAAAAGCATTAATCACAATAGTAAAGGCCCTTGAAAGGAAATGGAGATGACATTTTGAACCTGCACGAGGTTCAAAGACTCTGATTAAGCAGCAATGTGTGTTGTTGGCATACCAAATGTGCTCCCTTCTCCCTCAACAGAGAGAAACGGAGAAACTTCATAAGAAAACAAGCATCAACATAATTTGGATGTATAGAATTCATTTTAGAAGAACATTTGGCAACCTCTCTAACCATTGACAAGAGCTGTAATATCGCTTGTATTGTGCTCGCGGTTATGCATTGAAATCAGAATAATACGTCATTCATAGTCCATTCTCAAAGTCAACGCAAATCAGAGTTCATACGAGAGATATGACATGCTCGGTCAATTTCTAAAGAATGCTCAAGTTTTCTCCCTCTCATTCTCAAGGTGGGGGGGAGAGAGAGAGAGGGGGGGGGGGGAGGAGGAGAAGAAGTGAATGCTTACCTTGAATAGCCAAAGCTTGCCAAGTAACAAGGTGATTTATGTTAACCAAGGGAAAGGACAGGAATGAAAAAGAGAGAACAGGTGATACTGGATAGAGTTGGAAGCATGGGCTAGCTATCATGGATTTCCATTTCCTGCATCTCATGATACATACAGAATCGTGTATGAATCAATAAAGAAGCAAAGAAAGGGCCAATGGATTTCCAGATGCCGAATACATGACAGAAAGCACCAAGACTTGTCTTTTGCTAACTCCATAAGTTTGACAATTGGGGATGAAACTATATTTTCTAGTTTGAAGTGGTGAAGTGCAGGCAAAGACTAATAACATAAACAAAATCCAACATTAATCTATCCCCTGAAGAATAATAAAAGGAAACGAAATCACGGGGAAAGTTATAAGTAAGAAATAGGGACCTGTTGAACGAGGCTGTTGAGTTGAGCAGGATTCATGAGATGGGAAAACTCGAGATCAATAACGATATTCTGGCCATCGACTCTGGCATTATTCAGCCTCTCTAACTTGCTCTCTTTCTCCTCGCACCGCTTCTCCATCCTCTCTTTTCTTAACCCCTTTCTGGACTCAATGAGCTTCTGCCTCTCCTCTTCGCTCCCTAAGCTCCCAAGTTTCTCTTCCCACTCCCTTTTCTTGCGTTCAGCTTCCCTCTTCTTGTGTTCCTTCATCATCGCCTTCTTCTCCGCCTTCTTCGCCTCCCACCTTTGCTGCTTCAACAACTTCTTCCGGGCATTCTTCGACAGCGGCTCTGGGGACTCCACGGGGCCGGCGTTATGGTCGGGTTGCTGCGGAGACTCAGACTCCATTGGAGGATCAAACCAAGCTCGCTTACGACGACGTACTTATCAGCGTTCAATTACAGGCGATCTCTGCCTTGAAATTGAATTCCATCCATAGGACTCCGAAATTTGCCCCATTCAGGTTTGATTTGGACTTTCGACCCAAATGGTAAGAACTTACATACTGTCTTGGCCCAAAGTCGGACGTGTTACTGACTTGGATGCATGGGCTCCATGTTCACTTTCTTTGGTTCTTTTTTTTTTTGTTTTTATAATATTACGTGCTGAAGTTGAGAGTGTGGTTTACAGGTAGACAATTTCATACGGATAATAATGTGAAAAAGAGTTGCATGTGATGATGGGATAAGAAGGGCTAAATCCAAAGTCCATTTTAGCTAAATATTTCATATTGCTAAATAAAGGGCAGGACAAGACAACCATTTCGTTACAATTCTTTTATGGCCAGTTAATGGTAGAAAATTTATACGAGAAAAGAGAACATGTTTTAATTTTGGTTGAATATAAATGTCACTAAAATGTTTATACAGAAGTCATTATTCAAGGTAAAAGTTTATACTATTTTCAAAAAATTATACTCCAACTTTTCATTCAAATTCGGCGCATGTATGTATGAATAATGTATATAATTCGGCGCATGCATGAATAATATATATAGTCGGCTCTGCGGGTCTCTTTTAGATTGCTTGTTTATCGGGTCGATTTATCCGTTAACTCTCGTGCGTGCTTAGTAGTTTAATTAAGTGTGTGTGTTTATTTCGGAAAAAAAAAAAAAAGGCAGAAAACTTTCTGACACGCACAAGTACCTATGAGAGGGTTCACCAGTGTTGGGGGAATGGGTACTTGAAACGGGGTACACTTGGACATGGCAACGTAACTAAGAGGAAAATCAGTTGGAGGATAATCGGACAAAAAAAAAAAAAAGTAAAAGTGGTGGATGAACAGAACAGAACAGAACAGAAGGGAATACGAGGAAGAGAAATTTCCGAAACGGTTAGCTGAAGCTGTCGAGTATATGGAACGAACATGTATGGATGGATGATGGTGCTGAAGTCAAGAATGAGGAGGACAGGACGGAGGGACAGACCCTCCTCTCAAAATCCAAATCCCTTTTTTTTTTTTTTTGGGCTCTAAAGATAGATAGAGAGAGCTCGTGCGAGTGAGCCAGCAAGGACACTACTAAGTAACGACTAGACTACTAGATTATTTGTTAGTAGGAGTCAGTAGTAGTATTAATTTAGTACTATTTTTTTTTAATTTTTAAAAAATATAAATGGGGATAGAGAGAGTGGCCAACCCCATTTGTTTCGCTTCTTTGTTCGAACCCACAAACGCAGAAGCGAAATACCAATAAACTTCGAACCCCCCCCCACCCCATTTTCTCTTCTGTCTCTGGGAAGAGCTTCTCTCACCAACACAAAGCCCTGGGAAACGTTTTATTTTGTTTTCTTCTTCTTACTGACTGTCAGTAAGAGCAGCAGTGAGGTGTGGTGCTCAAGTAGCAGTGGTTATGCAGCTGGTGAAGCAGTTGTGAAAATTACGGAAATGGCTAATCAAAAACTTCTGCTGCAGCTCAAAGAGCTTGGATCCAAGCTCGACAATCCTCCCTCTACTAAAGACTCCCTCATCAAGCTCCTTAAGGTTTCCTCCCCTCTCTTATTCTTCCCCCATCCCCCCCACCTCCGGAATTTTTCCTTGCTCTTGATTTTGCTCGTTTCTCTCGATTAAATTTGGGTTCTTGCTGATAAAAATTGCATTCTTTTCTTGGGGTTTCAGTTCAAATGGGTTTTTGGGGTGTTGCTTTTGCTATTCACTTGAATTAGGGTTCTTCATGCCTGCTCTGCGCGCCTATCTAATTGAATAGAATTGTGCATTTCCTTTGGACTTCTGGCGTCATTCATCAACCCTTTCTCCCCCTCAGACAAAGATGTAAATTTTGGACCGTTGAATTTTTACTTTCTGTTTTCATAACTGCTAAAAATTTGTTGTATATACTTTTTAAATGTTCTGGTAAAATTGTTGTTGTTCTTGTTTGTTAAAGCAAAAAGAACAAAATAAATGTCACAAATTCTCTGCTCAACTCACTGCGCTTTGTGCCAATTCAGTTCAATTAGGGTTCTTCTGTGAGTGAATGATGGAAAATTCTGCCATTTTTAACGTATCGACTTTTATTAGTCTCTATATGTATATATACGTATATGTAAATTGCAGTCCTTGACTTTTTTTTTTTTTTCAAACAAAAGGGATGTGGGATTCTAAACTTGTGCACCTAAGCTTGCTTTCGATTTCTGCATTTTTTGTTTTTCAATATGAAACCAACCAAAAGAAAAATTTTAAACCACTAAAGTGCTCCCTTCTGTTTTGTGATTGTCGTGAAATATTTAAGTTAAACTGAAGCAGCTCTTGATCTTGTCTTATCCTAACAGGGATAGTTCTTATTACACCTTCTTCTCGTGATTCATTTGACCACCAGTCTGTCTCACGGCAGCATGCTGCTGTCATTCCTCACAAGAATGGAAGGTACACAACCAACCACCTTCACATTGTTATGGATCATTTGAATTTGATTCAATTTCATGGTTTTATCATGAATTAGATGAAAATATAATGTTTTAATATATCTTAAACCAAAGAAAGTGAGGAGCACAGTGTCCTTACTTTCTGTGGATCCTCACAATGAGATGATGGTTGAACTGTTTCAATGTGCGTGCCTGTTTTCTGTCCATTAAAGATGGCCAATGTGAGGCCAGTTATTTTGTTTTTGCTAACCTGAATCAACCATTTGAAGAGAAGCCCTATTGGGCAAGGAGAGGATAGGGTAAAATAAAAGCTTCCCTTAGTTCAACAATAATTTTCTGTCCACAGCAGGCACTATTGCCACAAAACCTTGAAGGGCTCCACTTGCACTATATTCTCACTTGACTTTTTAAGAATTAAAGGACCTACCCTACAATGATAAGGAGAAACTTCTGAGGATTCTGCATATGTGGAAAGCATATGAGTTTCCAAAATCTACTGCTTTTCTAAGGTAAGCATTTGTAGTCATTATGCAACTCAAGGAGGATACTATAAATGTGACATACCCGACAAATATTTATGGAGCAGCGGCATTGATGTAGACGAACAAGTCAAGTGCAAAATTTTGACTAGTTTAACCCATCTTGGGAGAGAGTATATAAACAGTTGAATGTCTGAGCAGAAAAGCATGAAACTTCTAGGCTAGACTAGTATCAATTTAGCAGAATGATGAGTCCTCATAAATTCATATTTGGTATCTTTGAGAAGAGAGGTGCCAAAGATTGCATCTTTCACACTTTCAGTGGTTGGCTGCATGCTTCGATTCTGCAGTCAGAGGGGCTAAAGGCTCTCTTCCACCTTTATAACTCGTTTTAGGAGCTTCTGAAGTGTCAAAAGCGGCAAATCTCTCATTCTCTCTCTCAAGCACAGTTTGTTGCTTGCTCTAAGTGAAGCGCCTGTAGACTTCAACATCTGTTTGAAGTTCTGTGTGTGTGTGTGTGTGTGTTAGTTGAGGATGCTGGAGCGCTACCATTTACCTAATATCTGATTGAAGTGTACTATTTCTTAAGAAACTCTGTGCAAGAACGAACAACGATTACAATTCTTCAAGAAAATGTATGGGAGAGCTGGTCTTGATCGCTTCAAGAAGGCTCAAACTTCGGAACCATTTTCTGTCAGTGTGAGTAATTCTTCTGCCAATGCTAAATCACCCACACAGCCTTCCAATAAACCACTTGCCAGCCCTTCTGCTTCCAACTCTCAGCACCACCTAAGCCAGTTCCATAACCAAAACCCTGGCTCCCAGAAGCCTCTACTGCCGGATGTTGCACAACCTGTACCCCCAACTCAGCCAGTGACTCAGGTTGGAGGGGGCCAATCAACTTGGCAGCCCCCTGATTGGGCAATTGAACCTTGTCCTGGTTTTTATTATCTTGAAGTCATCAAGGATGGCGAGGTTCTTGATAACATCCATTTGGATAAGCGGAGGCACATATTTGGACGGCAATTTCAAACTTGTGACTTTGTGCTTGACCACCAGTCTGTCTCACGGCAGCATGCTGCTGTCATTCCTCACAAGAATGGAAGGTACACAACCAACCACCTTCACATTGTTATGGATCATTTGAATTTGATTCAATTTCATGGTTTTATCATGAATTAGATGAAAATATAATGTTTTAATATATCTTAAACCAAAGAAAGTGAGGAGCACAGTGTCCTTACTTTCTGTGGATCCTCACAATGAGATGATGGTTGAACTGTTTCAATGTGCGTGCCTGTTTTCTGTCCATTAAAGATGGCCAATGTGAGGCCAGTTATTTTGTTTTTGCTAACCTGAATCAACCATTTGAAGAGAAGCCCTATTGGGCAAGGAGAGGATAGGGTAAAATAAAAGCTTCCCTTAGTTCAACAATAATTTTCTGTCCACAGCAGGCACTATTGCCACAAAACCTTGAAGGGCTCCACTTGCACTATATTCTCACTTGACTTTTTAAGAATTAAAGGACCTACCCTACAATGATAAGGAGAAACTTCTGAGGATTCTGCATATGTGGAAAGCATATGAGTTTCCAAAATCTACTGCTTTTCTAAGGTAAGCATTTGTAGTCATTATGCAACTCAAGGAGGATACTATAAATGTGACATACCCGACAAATATTTATGGAGCAGCGGCATTGATGTAGACGAACAAGTCAAGTGCAAAATTTTGACTAGTTTAACCCATCTTGGGAGAGAGTATATAAACAGTTGAATGTCTGAGCAGAAAAGCATGAAACTTCTAGGCTAGACTAGTATCAATTTAGCAGAATGATGAGTCCTCATAAATTCATATTTGGTATCTTTGAGAAGAGAGGTGCCAAAGATTGCATCTTTCACACTTTCAGTGGTTGGCTGCATGCTTCGATTCTGCAGTCAGAGGGGCTAAAGGCTCTCTTCCACCTTTATAACTCGTTTTAGGAGCTTCTGAAGTGTCAAAAGCGGCAAATCTCTCATTCTCTCTCTCAAGCACAGTTTGTTGCTTGCTCTGCCTTCTATTAGTTTTTGCTTCCTGGTAATCAAGATTTAAAAGGCATGGCTAATAGTTGGAGGGTTTGCTTTACTTCCTTTTCATTTTATATCTTATGGCCATGGTTTTCCTAGTATCTGTGTCACTTGGACACCGGATAGTTTGAACTCAAATCTAACAAAGTATGATGTGTATGAAGCTAGTATCTATCATGTATGAACATGGGGGGCTGGGTTCCCTCTGGAGATTGTTCAAGAGCATGATATTTATGTGTTATACTTAAAAATTTCAATCTCATTTGGGTTGTGTGCCAATATACTTGCTCTATACTGTCCTCCAAATATGTGACTGCTACTTTCTTGGATATCTTAAGTCATTTAGGATGCTGTTAGTTTCATCAATTGCTGACCTGACATCTAGGTGAACTTTTGGAGTATTTCCCTCAATTGTTATTTTTTTGTGCAGCATATACGTGATTGATTTAGGATCTGCACATGGCACATTTGTTGCAAATGAGCGGTTAACCAAAGATTCCCCTGTTGAGCTTGAAGTTGGGCAGTCTTTACGGTTTGCAGCATCTACGAGAACTTATATATTGAGAAAGAACAATGCAGCTCTTTTTCCGCCACCAGTACATCCTTCAGATATTAATATACCCCCACCCCCTGATCCTTCAGATGAAGAAGCTGTTGTGGCTTACAATACATTTCTAAATCGGTATGGGCTGGGCAAGCCAGATGAGTCTAAATCTTCTGATTTTGATAGCTCCTTACAGGGGAAAGATGAGAGGGCAGCTAAAAGGATTAGGAGAACAAGAGTGGCTTTTAGAGATCAAGTAGGGGGAGATTTGGTTGAAGTAGTTGGAGTATCGGATGGAATTGACGTCGATACGGAGCCTGGTCCACTGGGTGTTAAAGAAGGAAGTCTTGTTGGGAAATATGAATCCCTTGTACAAATTACGGTGATACCCAAAGGCAAGGAACAGTCCTCCTCGAAAGAAGTCGGTGTTTCCCAAGCGGGCGTAACTGAAAAACTTAAGCAAGTTCTAGACAAGGTAAAAACTCCTGTAAGGAGTGGGATTTATGATGATCTCTTTGGAGAATCCTTTTCCGGTAAAGTTGGTTCGTCTTGGGCATTTTCCTCCGCTAAATCTGGTGAGACGCAAGCATCTCCAGCCAGTGAGATTGAAGGGACAGCTGATGCTGCCTCTGGTGGAGAGCTCGATAGTAGCTTAAGTGCGGTTGACAATGAGGTTGATGATGATTTATTTGGCTAGCTTTTTGGCTAAGTTTTTTAATTTTTTAGCTGATGAGGAGGGTTTTTTTCCTTCTGTAAAGGGACATTTTTGTTGTACTTCGCTGTTAAATATCCTTTGTTTTGCATCCTCATCCGAGCTTCCAAATTGCACTTCTTGAAATTTTTAATCTCTCCCTCTAACTTGAACCTTTATGATTTGAAGGAATTGTACTGATCAATTGTTAAAGCTTTTAGTTAATTAGAGCCTTTGAACCCATAGTTGAGATAAATGTTTTTCTACTGCTAGCGATCTACTGATTGCCCTGGTACTCGCGGTTTCTGCCTAATTGTTGCTAGGGTAATTGTTCCTTCGTAGCATTTCGGTGCTGCGTTTTACTAGTGGCCCATGAATGCATGCTGTACTTTCTTTCTGGACTGCGAGGATTTAAATTCTCTCATCTAAAAGTTCCTTCACCCTACTTGATCAAATTGCATGTAGCTGTTCTAAGGGCTCAATCAGACGAACTATTAAGTGTTCATTCTGGGAATGCTTTTGTCTGCCAAAGTCTTGTTCTTCCTAGTTGTAGCGGTTCTTCGGCTGACATGGAAGTATGCAAGTAGTGTCTGCTAGAAGTCTCGCGCCTGTATGCAGTGTGGGTTCTAAATTCCTTCTGCCCTCTGTACACTGGCAAGTGATAAGGGGGTAGGACTTATACGGGTCCTGAAATGGTTCTCCTGAGTAGCTGGGGATCTGCGTCTACCCTCTTTTGCCCTTGGAGAAACTGTAAGCAGGAGGCGGGTTGGGGAGGATGGAAAAGCAGCATTAATTCACGTGCTTATAAAAGGAGAACACAGTTTGGACGAAAAGGAGAGGAATCGATTTGTTTATTTAGTTTCTATGGAAGCATGGAAGGAATAGAAGTGTAGATTGCATATTACCATGGTCATGTTTTTCAAAAATTTATTTTTCTTGCGAAGCTTGAGAATCTGATTCTGCAAGTTTGCTTCATAAACCTGTCAAACAAATTTCCAGATTAATATGAAAAACGCAGTTAAGACTGGTTTTGTTGCTTGATCCTGAAAGAAGTGTTCCTGCAATTTATTTAGCTTCGGCAACAAAGGTGTTTAAACCGAAATATGCTGCATGAATTGTTTCAGTTGGAATCGCCTCAAAATGTAAGGAAATCAGGAATTTTGGCAACATTAAAGAGAGAGGAAAATCATGAGCGAGACGGGGAGATAAAAATGACCTGTTTCTTTTCGTGTGCTTTTGCCGCTGCCTCTCTATTTTTGATCTTTGTACGCTCTGCCCTGCGTGCAGTCTCTTCCTGCGTCTCGATTACACCTTTGTATCTCCTCTTCTTCCGACGACCCTTGACCTTTTCAGTTCCACCCCCGTCGCTGTTTTGGGAGCAAATGAAGTATCTTACTGAAGGTGAAGGACCCCCAAAGAATGTGATGCTTGGGACACCATGGATATAATTCCCTTCTAGGCCAAGGCCATTGCCGTCGCAGATTCCATTGCCATAATTGTATGCTTGTCCAGAAAAAGGTCGTATCCCATTCCCGCCTCCTCCAGCAACACTGTGCACGTTTTCAGCGGGATCATTGCAATTTCCCAGGGCAAAAGATTTGGCACCGCTTCCTTGATGATCATCATGTTCATGGTCAGCCATTTCCTCTATCATCGCTAGAGACTCTTCTTCAATTTCTCTGGCCAAAGCCTGTTGCTCATACTTAGCACTCCAGTGGTTAGCTGCAGTAACCCCGTGTTGGGTGCAAAGAGTAGTACTGGAAGTTGGAGTTGGAGGCAGCATCGTAGTGTCAAACGCATCGAAGTCATGTAAAAAAACCTGGCTAGTTCTGGCAAAACAACTCTGAGTTTGAGGTGGAGGAAGTGACTCGTGGATGTTAGCGTTGTAAAGGTTGAGCTGATCATTAATGGCTAAAACGGATTCGACAAGGTTGGCAGAGCCTCCTCCTCCTCCTTCGGGGAATGCTGGCATTACTTTCTCGAGTTCATTAAGATCGAGTAAGAGCTTGTCAAGGTCAGCGTCGGTGAATTTACCAAACCTCCTGCTGCCGCTGCTGCTGCCGCTGTCGCTGAGATCGTCATCACCATCACTATCTCCCTCTTCTTCGGCAAGCTGTAAACTGGGATCCATGATTTTGTTGAAAATGAACAGCACTGGATTTGGAGATGAAGCAGGAAGACTTGTTTAGCAACCAATCTAAATTAAGCCTCTCTTAGTTTAATTGAAGATTTAGATGGAGGACAAATGTACGCGGTTAATCAGATGATCATATTATTGATACCCCGGCCCTATCCATGCAGACAGCAAAAGAAGAGATGGAAACGTGAAATCTCAATACTTGACACAATTAATAGTAGTAGTCATACTTCATCTTCTTCATGATTTGCAAAAATGTACCATATATTACAGTTTTACTGCAACGTACAGCACTAGTGAGTTGTGAATGTCCGTCCTGGCCACTTTGGGATTTTATATGTTCTGTGGTAAAAGTAGTGCTTACTGTTCTTTTCCTCTCCTCTCTGGAGTCTGTGACCATACTACATGTCTTTTGCGTGAGCCAAGCAAGCAGTACCATTTAATTTGGCGTTAAAATACATCTGGACTTGATCGCATTGTGCTTCCAATTTAAATATGGACTCTTCACACATTTTGCGATCGAAAATAAAAGCCTCAAAAACAGTACTTATTTGTGGAAGTAAGAAGTTGAAAGTTTTGATCGCTCAAACACACATTTGCTTGCAAATGATTGATATTATTGCACATATATGTTTCGTCATTTCATTTTTCTACGTCTACCTGCCTGTGACAACTAATACACATTTCTAACCAAATGAATGATTTATCTTGTTTTGGCAACATCTATCCTTTGATTACAACATATATGCATATGCGCATCTGATCAAATGACAAAATCCAATTTGACTTCTTGTTGTTGCTGGGTTGATTGTATCAAAATGGACAATGGACAAGCTTAAGGACCGTATTTATCCAACAAGAAGATATGGGCAAATCAGAAAAGCTATTACCTTTTGAGGGGGTATTTTGTAGTACACCCTCTTAGATGTAATATTTTGTTGTCGTTTTTTTTTTTTTTTACAGAGATGTAACTGATCAGACTTTAATGAGTATCACAACGTTGAAGTATTCTTTCGGAGAGGGTAAGCTTCAGGAACTTAAACTATTTTGTAGTAATATTTTATGGATGGGAGGTAAGTGAGACGAAAAGCTGGCTCAGCGGTGAACACCAAGGTTCAGTCAGAAAGAAGTCCAACAGCCTCAACAAAAATCCTCTGGTCGACACAAAAGAAACTCTTATTTTTGTTGGCGCAAAATTAAAAAAAAAAAAAAAATGCACAGCGAAAGCAATTTTAACATATAAATTTATATATATATGTTGAAAAAGAAAGAGAATAAACACACAACAAATACTCTGTAATTTCATTCATTCAAAACTCAACAATAACAATATCAAATTGTGGCCTTTCACTAACGACAACTCACAATATATAACAATACTCAGAGGTTTTCCCTCAATTCAACTTTCTAAGGAACAATGTACTGGATTGTAGATTATAGAACTTCAAAAACAAACACAATTGTAAATCAAAACTTACTTGGAACTGGCTTAAGATTTTCCTAAACTAATTATACGGAAATTAAACAAACAAAAAAAACTAAAAGAATTAGAAAATATAGTTTAGTTTAATTCCATCATTGTCTCCCCTAAATTAAACTTTCCATTATAGCCACTTCCAATACCATCTCGAACTTGAGTCTCCATGAATAATTCAGTCACTATATGAACGATGTGAAACACCAACTTGCAATTGTTTTTCAATTTCAATTTCACGTGTGGTAATGGATGGAGTTTGTATTTTTAAATAATTTCTTGACTTGATTACTTCTGTCAAAAAACTCAAACATGTTCACCTATTCCTGATTAAATGACCCATTATTTAATTCATCCACATCGTCAAGAAAATCTCCCAACACCACAAAATCATAATTTTTGCCAATAAAGTTTTCAACATAACCATACTTTTTTTCTTTAATTTTTCACGCTAAAAATTGCATCAATTTTAGTAGTACCATAATTTTCAAATAATTTATCCACTCCACAATTGATTTCAACCAATTCAACTATTTATACTGACGTAGTGATGTCTTGCGATTCAAATATCTATTTCTCTCTAACGCTCTTTAATTGCAGTGCTCAGTAATTCCACGCCTTGTGTAGGTTATGTGAACCCCTTTTGGGCAATATCCCAAATTCAAACAATTTGAAAAAATATTTTCATCATTCAACTTCAAATCTCAAATTCATTTTTACCATCGAAGAAAAAAAACAGCATAACATTATTGTAAATAAAATGGATCCATATTTTAATTTCATGAATAAGCTGCAAGATCAAAACCTAGGGTTTTGATACCACTTGTTGACCAAAAAAAAAAAAAAAATCATGCACAGTGAAAGCAACTTTTTACACATATAAAAATATATGGAAAGCGGAAGATAATAAACACATAATAAATGTTCAATAATTTTATTAATTCAAAACTCAACAATAATATTATCAAGATGTAAACTTTCGCTAACAACGACTCACAATAACAATACTCAAAGGCTTTCCCTTAACTTTTCAAGACTCAATTCAACTCTCCAAAAAATAATGCATTAGAGTAGTAGCATGTATAGATTGTAGAATTTTCCTAAACAAACACAATTGCAAACCGAAACTTACTTGGAATAGACTTGAAATTTTCCTAAACTAATATGAAAATTAAACGAATAGAACACCAAAGCAAGAAACTAAAAGAATTAGGAAATGTAGCTTAGTTTTATTCTATTCCATCAATTTTGTATTGCGAACAACCAAATAGTTTTGCAAAGTCTTTTACGTCAGTTCATCAAGTCTCTTATCTGTATCGTGCCATGCCTCGAATTATTAGACAATACCAAAAAAGTTAGAACGGACAAAGCTATTCGGCGGATGAGGAATTAGAGCAGAGAAAATTGATCCTTGAAGAAAAAAAAAAAAGATTTTTATTTTTCCGGAAAGCATACTAGCGTGGAGCTGCTTGCTTAATGTCGAGCATCATGATTAAACATTTGCATTATCGATGAGTTGGGACCTGAAAGTCAGCAAAGCTTGTTGAGTCGCTTCGCTGGAGAGACAAAATTGATAGATAAGCCATGAGATGATTCGGAATATTTTAAGTTTTTCCATGGTTCTAAAATGAAACGCAATTTCAACAAGCATTTGAGCTACGAGTTTTTTTAGGATGAAGTGAACGCTTGCTGGTGCATTTAACTTATACTATCAAAACTATCATGCCATGTACATATTTACTTTACTGCTTACATTTTAAATACTTTCCTCGTTTAGTTGTGTACGTTGATCCAGCTGTATTGCGATTTGATTGTAGCTTTACATATACAACATTCTTTTTGAAGTTTCACGAGTCATAAATCGACAATATGCGTTTGTTTCACGTATTACAATAAAAGAGTATCACCCTGATAAATAAATAAATAGTGAATGTAACCTAGTATCCTAAACTCTTATTAACAACGAATAATACAAAACTATCCGAATTGATTTATTATTAGGTAATTAATTTGTCAAAGATAAGTTAATCCTGAGAAAGTATTTCAAATCTTTCTCTAAATTAATGTAAGTCAGAAGCTCAAATCTCACACTCCCACAATAATTTAAAGAGCGAGCCACTACAAAAAACCATCTAGATGGACCTTTCCTATAACGGTTAGGTCCCTTCCCTTTTGGTGTAGGGCAGTACATATGTTAGGTGACACGGCTACAAAGGAAAATTTTTTAGAAAGTAATTTTTCCCCAAAAAAATTTGGGATAATTTCATAAATCTCCCTTGAGATTTTTCATAATATCACTCAGCTCCCTTAAAATTTTAAAAATCTCACTTACTTTCCCCTGTCAGTTTGACAAGACTAAATATTCCTATCAAAGGTCACAATTTGACAACAATACCCTTACTCTTAATAACTATTTAACCAAAAAGCCAAAACCAAATAAAACTTTTAAACCAAAAAACGTAGATTAAAAGGATAAGTTGTTATCTAGTATTGGTTTGTATTTCTCTATATCGAGATAGTGGTAGGATGGCAAATGATGTGGATAAATTAAATCTAATCAAAGTCAATCACTTAGGAAGATTTTGGTGAATAATTAACGCATTGAAAATTTTCGCGGACAGTTATAAGGAAGTCAAGAAATTTTTTTTAGGAAATATGTTTAAATACATGATGTATTTTAAGTTGCATTGAAAATTAGAATAATCTCTTTATACATGTGGTTTGTAATATAAATTCTATCTATAGATTTTTACAATCCATTTTTCCAAGAAACTCGCTACAAAATAGCAATCCAAACATGTACAGATTATTGGGTGACAGACGCAGACCCAGAAAGGAAGGAATATTTGCTTCTGATTCTGTCTGCCTTCCACAATGGCAGCATGCGTTACGGGTATAATCCCACTATGATCATCTCTGTCAACTCCCCCACCAGTCTAATCAGACTAGGCCGATCATGCATCAGTGTATGTACCCAGTGAAAGATCATGCGGTACAATGCAAAATACGTGGCCGACAGAAAATCAGAAGCAACCAGCCAGAACCATGGCCTCCCAGTCACCTAGAAGAAGAAAAGGAGGAGGAGGGGAATATACCAAGCGCCTATAACCATGAGCTAGTGGGGAGAAGTATGATGAGATTGTTACATGGGATCGCTCTAAAAGGTCCCACTACATGGACAAATCGGTTCGAGACTCACGTCCCTACCCTACCCTTCTCTCACTTCCAAGCGCCTACACACTTGTTGGACTTAGCGGCAGTGGAAGGGAATTACCAATGTAGGTTTCGTTTTGGTTAAAAATGTTCGGCCTGCGTCTCCCTACCCTTCTTAATGTTTCGGTCAAAACGGATTTGGGTATGTTTAGAACAATTGACGAAAAATCACAATAACTATCCTTCAAATTTAAATCGGCTTCAGTCAAGAGTTTTGAACTTTCAATCAATATGATCCTCTAGATCTCAAGTAATTACAATTAGGTTTTAAAATAAATTGAATTAAATGGACAACAAATATATTCCTAAATCCTATATAATTTCATGAAAGTGCTTTATATCAGCACAACATCATAATTACATAAATAACATTTTTTTTATTAAATAAGTTACAATTGGATGATAATGTACTCATTGAATGCAATTTCATTCTAATTCGCATCTCACTTCATCGTAAAACCTCAATGTTAGTATTTAAAATTTAGACAAGTAAACAAAACGTTAGGGACCATAAAAGCAAAAAAGTGAAAATTGTTAAGTAATGGTAATTTGATATTAACGATTAGTCATTGCTGAATTTATGCCAATTGCACTGAATATGCCTAAAATAAAAAATCTAGTGGACCATATTTATTTTAGTTGAAACATTAAGAATAATTTAGTACCCAAGCCAAATATTAAGGGTCAAGCTTGCATTTCTCCCTTTAATTTATTAACTCCATTTCATAAGACCAAACCATGCATCCAATGATTATATAGGTATATATGTGTGGATACAAGTCTTTGGCAAAACTTTTAATTTTTCAAATATAGGTTTACATAACACACTTTAAAAACACCCTAAAAACACTTTAAATATACCTTACAAACAGATAAAAATTTATTAAAAAAATGAAAATAAGAAATCCCTTTCTTTCTCCACCACTACCCACATGCGACTCTCTCTTTTCACCACCACTGCTTATCCTCTGCTGCCCTCCCATTCCCTCCAAATGTCGGTCACCTCCTCCACAACCCTCTCCTACCTATCATGTTCTGTTTCCTCCTTTCATCATTCTCTTCCTCCTCTCCCCCCTCTTCCTCAAAGAGAAGGGTAATGAAGAAGGGAAAAATGTGGCATGCAAGGGCAGGAAAATGGAGGGGAGGGGCGATAGTGAGAAGAAGGTGGCATAGAAGAGGGGATGGTGATGAAAAGTTGAGAGTGGAGGGTAGAGGGAGGAGGGACATATTTTAAAACCTCAAGAAATTTAAAATTTTAAAAATACATCAAAACATACTATACAAACAGAGTTTTCCACGGATACAACTACAATAAAGTTTTTTAAAAAATATTTTGGAAATCATCTAATCCATGCAAACTCACAAGTTTTCTTTCGTTCTCATATATCATCCGACATCAAAATTTTTTTTCTTTCGTCATACAGTACGAAAACGTAGATCAAGCTTACCTAAATATTATCTAGGGAGAAATGCATTTCAGTCATTTGTGGGTACACATTCAGGGCAGGGGGGAAATTAGGAAAGCCACTCCTTTTCACCTTTTTCCTATTCTATTCAAGTAGATAATGATAACGTGCTTTTGATACATTACTAAGTTGACTACTCCCATGTAAGAGCAAAGCCCATGCCCAAAGCTATCCTCCGTGTAATTGCTAGATTCCCCCGCCAAACCCTTATCCTCCAGCCGCAACCCCCCTCCCCCCAAGTCCACCACAACCCACCCCATAGAAAAAAAGGGTGCTTAGTAGTAGGAGAGATTAGCTATCAGCCTAGCCAGCGTAGCACTTGATCGATGTAGAATGCTACGCAGCGCTCGATCTTTTCTGGTCTTAATTTGCTCCCTCCAACAGTCCTACATCTTTTGTAGGGTTTAGTGTCCAACTCCACATATCGGCGGCCTTCTTCCCTCTCTCTCTCTCTCTGGACTCATCATTACATGCATGACAAACCAAATCAAAAATTCCGTTCGTCCTTTCTATCCTGCCTGCTCTTTTTTCTTTTCCCCCCCTTCCCGTTTTTATACAAAGCATTGATCCAAGCATGTTTATTTTCTTACACCAGAGTGGTGGTGATTCTCTTCTCTTGCAGCCTCCTCCAAACTTTGCGGACGGTGGCGGTCTGAGTTAAGATTCCGGGTGATTCTTAACAAGAATATTTTGGTATGTTCATCTCCAATTAGCTCCATGCTTTTGCTGTTTTAATTGCATCAGTTCAAATGATTTGAGATGGATGGTTGAGTGACTTAAATGTATTTCGCAAGGAAAAAGGAATCCTGTTATAATAATAATAACACAATTACTGTGTGCGCGCTCGTGTTTGTGTCCTTTCCTCTTTTTCTTTTTTCTTTTTTTTTTGTAGAGAAAGTACTAGTAGATTTGACGAATACAAGAAAAAGTAGTAGGCTAGTAGTGACTAGTGAGTGAGCGAGCGAGCGAGCTTACGAAGAAAAGAAAATCCAATCGAGTATGGACAAAGAAGCCAGGCGGGGGACTAGTTGACAACTAGCTACGCACCTACCTGCTAAGAGCAGATTCGTCCCCTTCTTCGGATTTTAATTTTCCAGTTGAATTCCCAATGATTGTTGTTGCATAATTACTGGCACGCCCACCAACGCTAGCTGCGACTAGTAGTATTTACTAGTAGCTTACTCGCGGGAATTGGGATTTACTACTAGAAATTAAGCTAATTGCTACTACTTGCTTCTCTCTCACTCTCTCTCTATATATATATGTATATATATATAGATATAGATATATTTGCTGGTGGTTAATTTATACTCCTACTAATCTAATTAGGAAACAAGCAGAAGGGACTGACTAGCTAGAGACACTTCTTTCTTTAATCTGGAAGTCAAAATGAATATACGTGTCAGTTACTTACCATTTTTTTTCCCTTTCTTTTTGGAGAAACGATGATGATAATATATGGAGTAGTAGCAAAAGGATATTTTTTTTTTTTTGTAAACAGAAAAAAGGAAAAAATCCTCTTTGTTTTTGGCTGGGCTGCTGTTCATTTTTTGTCCATCCATTTTCCTTTTCCCTTTGGGTTTGATTAATTAGCCCCCGCTGCATCTCCTTCTTCCCTCCCGGCAAGGCAACAGCCATTGTGGGCGTCGGAGGAATATTGCGATGGAGCCCCCGCGTCGCGTAGAAGAGTAATTAAATTATGACAGACTTAATTATGAGATGAGGATTACGTTCTGCATGCAATGCATTTCTTCACTCACAGTTGATCTCTCCCCGGGGGGGGGGGGGTGTGGCATAAGTTTCTATATGATCGATGATCATTAATGAGGACCAAAGTGCAATTACAGATCACGTTAGTCGTATACGTACTCTAATATTGGCCGAACATATACATATATACATATACAAGCGTGCAAGATTGAAAAGATTTTTGTGCTTAATTAATCTTCTCTCTTACGTTACAACGTATATATATGTATATATATATAAGTATTCGATCTCCTAATTGATGCATGTTTTGCATTTGGTTTATACTTCATCATTATGTTTGAGGTTTTATATAGCACCATTATCGGTCTTCTTGTTCCACGCTCTCGCATCAGTAAGTTAACGTACGGCAAAGCATGCAGCAGAGGATCCAAAATTAATCATTATTTTTATCTTTTTTCTTAGACGTTATATATGCGTAGTAGTGTTAACTTCACTTTGTTCAGTTCTTTCTGATGCAAATGCCAATTACTTAGGATTTGAGGAATTTATAATAAAGAAAGAAACCACATAGAGGTAGCTGGGTAGAAATGAAAAATTAGTACATGTAAGAGTAGTAGCATCCCCCCCGCGGGATGAACATAAAACCCGTCCTGTTTTCAGCAAATCATCATGAGGAATCACGATGTTATGTTACCTCTTCTTAATTCCCAGAGTAGTCAGAAATGAGATGCCGTATATTATATATGAGGAGGACGACCGTAATAAGGTGAGTTGGGATGGGGCCTGGGGCCTGCGGGGTATTACTTACTAATCCTTGTCCTAGCTAACAAACAGTACATATATATATATATATATATATATATGTATGTATAGTACCTTCCTAGCTAGGCGGTCATAATCCCTAGTCCTATTACATTTCCTTTTTCTTTTCTTTTTTTGGCATTAATCATCCAGATTAAAGTGCAATATGACAGCCCAAAAGTTGGAGTTGGTGTTTCCAATGTGTGTTTGTTTTCTTCTTCTTCTTCTTCTTCTTTTAGTACTCCATGGTAAATGGAATACAAGGAGTAACATCATCCTAGCTACTGGAAGAAAGAAAGAATTCAGGGTTGCATCTCAAAGGAATAATCTGAAGTCAGCAAAGAAATGCATGGTATAAGCTAGATTGCTGTAATTAATACACTACTTTTTATCTTTCTTCCAATTTCCACCAAGTTTTTCCTGTCTTCTGCAGTTTTGCCGCTTCTTCAGATCGATTTGTACTTTTTCTTCCATCTTGTATACCTCTTTTGTAGCTCGGTGGTCACCGAAGCTTTTCTAGCCCAGAAAGCGTATTAGGACATCCTAAACTGAAGCAGTTGTTCGCCTTTGCCCTATTCCCATTCCTAGTACTTATAATGGAGGACCAAAATCATTTTTACGGAAATTAATAAAACATTCTCCCTCGATTGCATTGCATCATCCGCTGGTATGGTATCTACTAGGAAAATCTCATTCCTTCTGCATCTTCCTGTTTGATGCTCGATTCTTGCGTACTACTTAAAGGTCTGCTCATATCCAATTGCGCGCCTTTTTTTAAGTGTTAATTTGTGTGCATGATTATTGAGATAAGAGCCCTTTCTCTTCTCTAACAGTCAACTAAGGAATTCCTCTCCTATTCTGAGGATGTATACAAACTAACGTCCAATTGGCATCATATCGATCTGCACTCTTTTCCTTTTAATTAATTCCTGCATGCAGCTACGGATAGATGCTTTCAGGCTGAGTTCAACTAATGACGAGATATATTCGACTTCCAATGTTTCAGAAATTTGAGCACACCGAGTCCAGATTGCAGCTTATGCCATTTCTGAAGTGCTTAATGCAGCACAGTAGAAAAAAGTAAAAGGAAAAAAAAAAAGCAGCCAGAATGAAATTTATGAAGCTTGGGACAAGACCGGACACCTTCTATACAGAAGAGGCCACCAGGTACAATGCATGAATCTTAAGCAAAAATTGGAACGCAACTAGGTTGCCATCATGATAAAATTAATAGAAATGTATCTGCCTAACGCAATCTGTTTCGTAAATATTGATGCAGGACTGTAATTTCAGGGGTGCCTACTGACCTCACTGTTCGCATCAACAACATTTCATATCACCTTCATAAGGTATGAATGATATATACGAAAAGGGAAAAAAGGAAAAGAAAAAAGATTTGTTTTGTTTTTAGTTCTATACGTTCTTCGTTCCCCCTTGTGTGATGGTTTGGCTTCATAATGGAAACCAATAGGCTCAACACAAAAGCTGTACGTACTGCAATGAGAATTTGAAAGGTATTAGATAGAACTCACAGTATACTCAGCAATGAGGAAACATGAGATATCCATAATAGGATAGCGCATGAATCTGCGAGACGAAAATGGTAGCCGAGCCGAGAAGTGAGAATCACTATCACAAGCCTCAGGACATTCACAACTGTCATAACAAATCAGTACGCGGAATATATAGGAGCCCAAGGCTACCCGAGGATTAATAAGAAAAGGACAAGGGACAAGAAAAGCATGTCTTGCACCTTTTAATATGCCAACCTCGGAGATTCATCGTCATAACCTGATTTTACGCAACTGGTTTTTGAAAAACAATCCCTGGACCATTTTTAACTCAAAGAGAATTTTATGCACATTAAATGACTCCTGTTCCTACTGCAAGCTGCGGAAGCATACCATTTTTTCGCATTTACACTTGCGATTAATAGGATCCTGTGCATGAGTTCTAGAATTTTTTCCAACTGCAGCTTCCGCTACTTCCAAAGTGTGGCCTCCTGCAACAACTTTGCTCAGTCTCTGAGGAATCTGGAAATGTTACTCTTGAGCTGCATGATATTCCTGGAGGAGAAAATGCTTTCGAGCTGTGTGCAAAATTTTGCTATGGAATCACAATCAATCTCAGCGCTCATAATTTTGTATCTGCTTTCTGTGCTGCAAAGTTCCTCCGAATGACTGAAGCAGTTGAGAAGGGAAACTTCGTTGCAAAGCTAGAGGCTTTCTTCACTTCGTGCATTCTGGAAGGCTGGAAAGATTCCATTGTCACATTGCAGAGCACTGGAAAGGTTCCTGAGTGGTCAGAGAATCTTGGGATCATTAGAAGATGCATAGACTCTATTCTTGAGAAAATACTGAAACCTCCAGCAAAGGTCAGAGATATTCTGAATCCTAATTTATTCTGATTGGCTCCAAAGACTAGCCAATATCTTCCATTTTAGACATCAGTATTTAATTTGCGTAAAGGACATTTGTAGGTCACATGGTCCTTCACTTACACTAGGCTGGGATATGAACGAAAAGGTCACCATTCCGTACCACGAGACTGGTGGACAGAGGATGTATCTGACCTTGATTTAGACCTCTTCAGATGCATCATTGCTGCCGTAAGGTCCACCAACATTCTACCTCCTCAGCTGATTGGTGAAGCTTTGCACGTCTATGCATGTCGTTGGCTGCAAGATCTTACAAAGACCAGTGGATCTTCTGAAAGTTCAGGTGCTCAATCTGCCCAAAGGAAACAGCAAATCCTTGAAACCATTGTTAGCTTGATTCCGGTAGATGGAGGATCTGTCTCAGTCGGATTCCTACTGAGACTCCTCAGCTTGGCAAATCTCCTAGGGGTTTCTCCAGTAACAAAGGCTGAACTCGTACGGAGATCAGGCCAGCAACTAGAGGGGGCAAAGCCGAATGACCTGCTGGTTCCCTCTTGTAATTGTGATGATCATTATTCCTATGACATTGACTTGGTTGGGGCACTACTAGAAAGTTTCTTGAGGCTGTGGAAGAGACGATCAAGAGAGAGGCAATCCATTAAGTCAATCATTAATGTGGGAAAGCTCGTTGACTCTTATCTTCAAGTGGTCGCAATGGATGTCAATATGCCGGTGCAGAAAGTGGTTTCATTAGCTGAAGCTGTTCCAGAAATTGCGCGACCTCAGCATGATCAACTGTACAAGGCAATCAACATTTATCTCAAGGTAAGCTTCAATCGTCATGAAATGGGACTTGGGCACACATGCCAACAGCAGATTCCTCGTTCTCTCAAAACCTACTACTACTAGTGTTTGTGTAGCCATGATGCCGTAATTTGAATGCAACTAAACACGGACACAAGAAAGAATGGATAGCATAGTTTGTGTGCACGCACTATCTAGTTGACCATTAAATGGAATGCTTTGTGGGGCAAAGAAAAAAAAAGTATGAGAAGCATGCAATATTTGCCTTTGGAGCATTTCAATTTCCATGTTAATTTATCAAACATAAAATGCATGCAGGACGACCAAATATAAATGCACGCTTCTTTTTTTTTTTTTTTTAAATGATTGTGTATATATCTTCACTGTCTACGCTGCTAGTTGCTCACAAATGTCTGCCCAGGAGCATCCTGGTCTGGCCAAAGCAGATAAGAAGCAGCTCTGCCGCATTCTTGACTGCCAGAAGTTGTCTCCAGAGATACGTTTGCATGCAGTGAGAAATGAGAATCTACCTTTGAGAACTATTGTGCAGGCACTCTTCTTCGACCAAGGAAGAGGCTACAGGGGAAAAGATCAAAAACTTCCAACCGGAGAGCAATTTCGCAGCTGGCAACAGATCTCACAACTTTGCACGGATGATATGAGCAAACCTAAATTGCGTTCAAGTAAAGAATCACCTGAAGCAGAGGGACTCAAACACCATGCACCCGTTGCAAGCAAACGAGTAAATAAAAGTTAGAAAATACTATCGAATAGAGTCTCCGAGTTTGTTTATTCAAGAATTCAATGCTTTGACTTCGGATCAGATACAATGGGTTCTTGATTGGACGAAAGTAAGGGATCCAGCTTTCAGGACAACACAACTTGATTTTATCCCGTTAGCAAGCACTGGTGGATTGATTGCGTATGTACCACAACGAGTTATGAGACAGTTTGGGTATCCGCAGCGAGTGCGACCATACAAAGGATGGGGAACATCGAACTCAATACAGTCACCGAATGCCAGACCATGGTGCTGGAAGCTTGGGGGAATCTGTGTAGTCTGGACAACCTGCATTTGGACCAAGTGGATAAAGCAGAGCCTAAGGTCGTCTTAGAGTACAACGAATGGATCAAATCAATGATGGAACAAGGAAGGAGAAAGGGCATCGTTGGTCCCCTTAGTCTTGAGGAGCAGAATGAAAAGTTGAGGAAAGAGTTGGAGAATCATCAGTTGCAGATCATGGTAGCCGATCAAGCATTGGAAGACGCCCGCTTACAATTGAAGAAAGAGGCCAAAAAGACCGAGAAATTGGAAAAGGCATTGAGTGCATTTGATAAAATCCAAGATGAAATTCGGAAACTCAGTATCGGAGTTCTAGGGAATCCCAACATACTAAATTAGCTAGACATGAGGACTTTGTAAGAATGGTTGGTCGAACCATCAATGAAGTTGTAAAGAAGGACTGAGTTTGTCCATATTTTAATGAGAAATTCCGCTTCTATATTCACTTACAGGTTTGGAAATGGGATTTTACCCGAAGGTTGCATCATGCTAGGCCTACCCTTGGCACAAAAGGGCCCCCCAAATAGGACATGCATCCGAATTGTTTCAAATAGTTACTAACTCATGTCTTTTTCTTTTTCTTTTTCTCTTTGAATGAATTGCAGAAATTCAATAACGATTGGTTTATCTAAAGCAGTCTTTTGCACTCTCAGGTAAAATTTCCAAAAATAGCTTTCCGGAAAAGCCCCATTATTACGCGATCCCGAAGTAAAGCTCAAAGGAATCGTGTAAACATGAATATTCAACCAGAATCATCCGACAAGACTACAGCGACTACACAGCCGGAAGTCACGAGTCCTGGAGTCCAGTTGGCCGAGTTACTTGCTAAGTTTGGGGAAATGGCCTCTGAAATGGCCCCAAAAGAAATTAATAGATGAGCTTGTCAGTAGCGGGGTACAGCCGGAGCTTCCGCGCGTAATACAACTGCAATCTGAACCCTTTGTTATTCCTACAGTTCAAACTACTGATCCCATGCAAGGTCCACCCGAAGGGACTTTCACCTACCCCACCGTTCATCTGCCATACACTTACCCTCCTAATCCTTCATTTTTCCCTACTCATATGCAAGGCCCACAACCTCAAGTCACTGCAAATATACCACCTGAGACACAAGCTTTTTATTACCCCACCACTGAGCCTTATCTGCCGACCATTTTATTCAAACCAAACCAGAGGTGGGAGGATCCTCTGCTCCCATTGATGTGAAGTTATTAAAGCGCCTGGACCGTTTCGATGAATTCATGAGGAAGAGTCAGGTGCTGAACAAGCAAGGAGTTTTGGATTACGATGAGCTGTGTCTCTTTCCGAATGTGCAACTGCCTGAGGGGTTCAAAACTCCTAAGTTTAACAAGTACGATGGGACGGGTAATCCCAAGACGCACCTCCGACTATTTGCAAACAAATTGGGAAAGCCTGTGGACGATGAAAACTTGCCTCTAAGGTTGTTCCCGAAAGTCTGGAAGGGGACGCACTTGACTGGTATTCAAATCTGAAACCTGAAGACGTAAGAACCTGGATTGACTTGTCCAAGGCTTTCGTAAGGCAATATGAGTATAATTGTGAGTTGGCACCGACTAGAACCACCTTGGAAGGAACCAAAAGAAAACCCTCCGAAGATCACAAGACTTATGCCAAGAGGTGGAGGAAAATAGCTGCCAAGGTGGAGCCTCCGATGACCGAGGAAGAAATCATCCGTACTTTCATCAAGGCCCATGATCCTCCATATTTTGAAGAAATTTTCCGTATGACTGGATGTTCATTCGCGGCAATTGTAAATAAACTTGAAGAATTCGACGACTTTGTACGAGCCGGGAAAATTGTTAATGTGTCTGCCCTGAAATCGCAAGTGGAAGCTTTGCAAGGGCGAGGAAGCAGTGAAAAGAAACCACAATTCAAAAAGAAAGAAGGAGATACAACCTTTGTTTGGAACCACAATCCTTCACCCCGACCCCGATACCAGCACAACCCAACCTACCAGCAACCTTACCATTACTACTCAAACCCACACCCTGTATATACTACCAACATCCACCACCCTCGACCTCGCCCAAACTATACTAACCCACCTTCAGCCCCTTTTCAAATTTCTCAACCAAATCCACCCCAAAACCGACCTCGACCTCCATTTAACCCAAGATTTCCTCCTCCAAATAGACCTGCTTACAACTATCCTCAACCCACTGAACCCTACAACAGACCCCCTAGCCGTACTTTTACCAATTTAGGCAGGCCTTTAGACCAATTATATGACCAGTTAAGGGCCTCCGGAAAAATTGGTACAGTACCTCCTACCTACCCGTATGGCATGCCCGTTTGGTATAACCCGCAAGCTGTTTGCGCGTATCATTCGGGGGCCCTGGGCATGCAACTTTGGATTGCAAGGCGCTAAAGCATAAAGTTCAGGATATGGTTGAGTCTGGAGAAATCGTGATCAGAAAGAGGGAGCCGCAAGGGCCAAACGTAAATCAAAACCCCTTGCCAGAGCATGTTGGGGTTATTATGGACGATGCGGAGTACGAGGAACAAATCAAGAAATTGGCAATAGAAGCTGAAGTGTTTGGGGTCACGGACCAACCGTTTGTCATAGAGTTGCCATTCGAAGAAGATAACAAGCCTTTTGTCTTGGACCTCACGCCAGCAGAGAATGAAGCTTTGAAACCGGTAGTCATCGAATTCCCGAAGCAGGAGCCCGTATTAAGTCTGCAACAAGTGCCGTGGAATTACGATGAGCCTAGCATACAGATCGGGGAGAATTCAACCGCAAAGAAGGAAGTGTCAGTAGTTACCAGATCGGGGAAGACTGTAAATCCATTTGAGACTACTACTCCAATTCAAGCCAATAGTTCTGAGCCACCCATCAAACCAACAATCACCGAGAAAGAAGCCGTGGATTTCCTTAAACGACTCCAGAGAAGTGAATACAACATAGTGGAAAAGCTAAGCAAATCACCTGCCCAGATAACCATGTTGGACCTACTTTTCTCTTCGGACGTGCATAGGGATGCATTGATCGACGTATTAACAAGAGCTCAAATTCCGAGGGACATTTCTGTTGATAATTTTTCAAACGTGGTTGGGAGCGTATTATTCAACAAGCAAATTGCTTTTTCTGATGATGAATTGCCGACGGAGGGCATTGGACATAATAAGGCGTTGTACATAACAGTGAGGTGCAACGGGAAAATGCTGCCGAAGGTGCTAATTGACAACGGGTCCGCACTTAATATCTGTCCTTGGAGTACCTTGGAGAAGCTAGGATTGCAAGACATTAAGCTGAGGCCTTCAGGGACTATCGTTAGAGGGTTTGATGGAGCGCAGAGGGAGCCAATAGGAGAGGCAGATTTAGTAATCGAGATGGGGGGCCCAATTTCAAATAACTTGCCAAGTCATGAACTTCCCGAGCATTTACAATATCTTACTTGGAAGGCCATGGATTCACAAGTCGGGGCGTGCCGTCTTCGTTGCATCAATTACTCAAGTTCGTGGTAAATGACAAACTAATCACTATCTTTGCTGAAGAGGACTGCCTGGTGATCACCGATTCTGGAGTTAAAGAGGAGGGTAGTCAAAGTGTTACCATGTCCCCTCACAGCACATCCGATATAGTCTCCGTAAGTTGGATAACCACGGAGGAACAAACTCTCTCAAAGGCCAGTGTAATGATGGCCAGAGAAATGATTCGTGGAGGATACAAATTCGACAAGGGGTTGGGGCGTGAACTGCAAGGGATCCTGAAGCCAGTGAAGATAGTAGAAAAAGGGATACCTTCGGTTTGGGTTTCAGCCAACCGCCAAGGATTTCAAGGAGATGAAGGAGCGTAAAAGAGCAGAAAAAGAGGGCTGGCAAAGGGTTTTCGATATTCCACCGCTACGGTATACTTTTCCCCGGCCAGCTGAAATAATCACATCAGAGGGTAATTCAACTGAAGAAATCGAGGATAGTTTGTCCCAACTGTTCATTGGGGCAATATTTGAAGATATTGTTCCGCGAGGAATTTCCTGACATCCCGAAGGTCGATTCCAATTGGACAGCGAGTCCCTGCCGTTCGGAAGGAGTTTCGGTAAATGAAAGGGGTTTATCATTCATGTGAATTCATGAAAATACTTTGCATCTGTAAATAGCCAATGAAAACAATTTCCTTTTTGACTAACGCATGCACATGTAAATATTGTTAAGTTTTCATTTCCATTTGCTTTCAATCAAAGGTTTTATGAAAATGCACAAGTTGTTCTTGTCATTGTTGTGTTTTATTGTTTATATTGCTTGTCATTTGTTGTTGTGTGTTTGTTTGCTTATTATCCCACATTCGTTAATTCTTTCAGATGGCCAAAAATAAAATTATTTGATCCTTTGGATATCACAATTCTGGAATTCGATAATGGCAATCTCTATATCACTCACGACTTGGAGGTTTGTGAATCCGAACTCCAAAGCGAGAGTGATAATGAGGAAGTATCCGATTCGTTTGCAAAGGATCTTGAACAATATGAGGAAAAACCGAAACCGAACCTGGAAGAAACAGAAAAGTTAACATTGGAACTGAGGATGAAGTTAAGGAGGTGCAGATTAGTATTCATTTGAATAAGAGCAGAAAAAGGAGATGCTTGAGTTCTTGACTATGTTCCAGGATGTATTTGCGTGGTCCTATGATGATATGACTGGTATTTCAACTGACGTGGTAGTGTAGGTTACCC